TATTTCATGTATTTATAAAAAAATAGCGCCGCAGGCGATTTTTTTTTTCCGGGGTCCGTAGGCCGAACCCAAGGATAATGCACACTACTGAACTAAAGTCCGTCGATTTTAATCTGATACTTGGAATGAATGTGAGCTAGTGGCATCCTACATCCTACATTAGAACGCCAATGGTGACACGTCACACCTGTTTTTGCCATATACTTCACCCCCTTGCTCCTCATACGAAAAGTGTCAGATGAAAATCGACGAACAATACTAAAGGCTCGCATATTCTCATAAGGCCTGTGTGGAACAAAACTGAAGCCCTCCACCACGCCAAAGTACCAGTGATGACGTTGACAGCGTGTCGCTTCTCGCCTTGACGTAAGGTGTTCAGTGTTTGCATCACACCACAAGTTATGATTCCGCGGGCTTTTATTTTAGCAGACTGAAATTTGACAGCCTTGATGATAGGTATCAAGAACAAGTGCATGATCGATCTCAATGGTATTATCCAATGATTATCCATTGTATTGTTCTTGGGCCGAACCTGCCAAATTTTAAACTGTCAAATGTCAAATGCTTTTGAATAACCGATCGCATGTTGCGATTTGCTGAGACTAGAGATGAGGCGCAAAAATCGATTTATTTATGCCACCGCAGGGGGGTTATTGTTCATCGATTTTTAACTGATACTTGCGGTATGAGGAGCGAGGGGGTGTTTCATATGGCAAAAACAGGTGTGACGTCAGGTAACCATTGGTGTTCTAATGTAAGGGAGCCACCAGCTCACATTCCGTCCGAGTATCAGATTAAAATCGACGAACAATACACACGGACGTGGATGTCTTAATACATATACGTGCATACATCAACGTGCAAACAACAACGTGCATGGCGCTTTTGTACAGACGCTCGCACAGAACTGCAGTCTTGCTATTCTTGCTACAGTATTCTGAGTGTGCATACAAAATTGCACATTCAAAAACGCGACGGTATTTTGCATACACATTGATGTTTTTGGTTGCGCGTTCATGTATGTGCGTACATGTTTTAAGACATCTACGCCCGTGTGTAACCGCCTCAGAGATTAGAAATGAGACGCAAAAATCGAATTATTTTACCCTTTTCAAAATATCAGAGAATACGGGACATTTACGCGTCCCGACAACAAATTTGGGGACGCGGGACATGGACCTTGAAATAAGGAACTGTCCCGTATAATACGGGACGTATGGCAGGACTAGGGATGCCACCTTGGGAAGTAAGTTGAACCGGAGAAAAAAAAAACCTTATTGAAAAAAAAATTCTAAAAATCTGATAACAGATGCATTAGGTACACTCTATCTATATACAAGTCTCCCCTGGCATCACCGGATGATGCTTCAGGGTTGGGAGTTGAGACGGTTGCAGAAGAAGATTCCAAGATTATTACACACTACACAGGATAGGACAACCATAGGATAGCCTATCCGCATATAGCCTCTGTAAATCAAATCTCAAGCCCCCCACCACGTCAAAGCGCCAGTGATGACGTAGACAGCGTGTCGTTTCTCGCCTTGATGTAGGGTGTTTGCACCACAGGCTATGATTCCGCTAACTTTTGCTTTGTGCTTACTTGGTTTTAGTATTAGTACATTAATGACGACGAGATCAATCGTTAGTCAAGTCCTTGATAACAAATAACAACCTCAGATTGTGCCACACAAAGACAATCTCATATTGACATTGACACAATCTGAGGTTTCTGTTAACTAACAAGGACTTAACTAACGATTCGATTGGTCTAGTCGCACTACTAGCCGTTTGCACCGACCATTTTAAGGGAGGTTTAACAATAATAAACGCTTAAAGTGACATTCTAACATTTCTACATGTCACTTTAAGCGTTGACTATCGTTAAAACTCCCTTAAAATGGTCGGTGCAAACGGTTATAAGCAACATTCCAAAACAACCCTTTTTAGATCTCGTTTGCAGTTTCCGCTTTGCTTATTATGTTATTCAAAATTAAATAATATTTTTCATTATAAATGTATATTTTAAACTAAGACCGCTAGCGCAAACAATTAACGACACCGTTGATGACGTCGGCAACGGTGCAGCACCATATGACCTTGATTCTAAAAATCGAGGCCGATGAGCAATCCTATAGTAGTGTGTAATATCCTTGAGGGAGAGCAGGAACAGTATTGCGCTGTTGCTAAATCTTATTTTTTTTTCCTGGACATAAGAATTATTTTTACGTTTTTTTTTGTTAAATGCGGTTTTACCCGGAGAAAACACCTAGTAATCCGGAGCCCGGAGACCATATGTGAAAACCCGTAGACTCCGGGTGAAACCCGGAGAGGTGGCAACCCTATTTTTCACCCATGCATAGACATTTTTCCGCCTTGCGCATCTAACCGATTGCTTATCCACCCGAAGGGTTAGAGATCAGTGGATCTCGAAGACGAACATTGCAAGAATCTAGAAAAAAAAAATAGAACTATAAAAAAAAAGGCAGTGACTACTGCACTGTCCAGACACCCAGACAGTGTCGACTGAAAACTATCTGCACTGACCAGATAATTTAATTTCATATTATCATATAAAGTTATAGTTATATTCAGAATGGCTTGCAGTCCTTGCTGGGATTTAGTTTATTATTAATTATTTTTGTAATAAGTCCACAAAATGAATGTTTTTGAATAGTACTTAAAGCCGGTCCCAGACGCTACGTGTATTCGGCGAATAGGCGAATATTCGTCATTCGCACGAATCTTTGCCCTGGTCTCCCACACCGCGTGATGCTATGGCGAATGTTTGGCTTGACAATTGTTCGGCGAAGTTCCCAAGCAGAGGGCCGTCGATTTTCAGTGGCGTTTCATACATGACGTAATTTGTTTAGTTCAAATCATGGAGGTTCAAAGGGACAGTGATGAAAAGCAGACTGTTGCCGCCGCTACGTGTGTCATTTTCAGCAGATGTGAGCTGTTTTCTCATGTTCACCTTTTTGAAACTGGTTCAAAACAGGTTAGAAATAGTATATTCTCGTGATGAACCCATGACGTCACACAAAATTGGTTTAAACCGCTTCGAAATACAATCCAATCTACGTTTTTGAACCATTTTTCCGCGCCAAGAAGCTATTACGTCATTGTGAAACTGTTCTAAACCAGTTTTGAAAAATGTTCACTGGTATCTTTGGGTTCTAAATGACAGGTTCAAATAATTTTTAAAAATACTAACGTTGATTCATTGGTCCACTCCATTTCTTATTTTAATTAAAAATAACTAAAAATGCAGAAATCAACCTTGCGGCACGGGCGAATATTCGCCAAAGTTACCCTCCCACACGCAGCACGCTACGCAAATAAACCCGAATACTGAATATTCGCCGAATACACGTAGTGTCTGGGATCTGGGACCGGCTTAATAGTGTCAATTTTCACAGGTCAGCGTCGCGGCCAAAAATTCATTCGATGGTGGCCATAAACACAAATATCGCATACAAAATACAAACATTTTCCCTTCAAGCGTGCGCAAATAGGTACTTTTTATGGAGTGCGGGAGGCATGGAGGTAAGTAACATTCTATTAAGCATTCGGTACTGTTCGACAACGGTTCGGTTTTTGAAATGTAACTGCCGTGGTTGCATGGACGTGCGCTTTATCGGGTGTTACTTACCCTCGTTATTCAGCCTATTACCTATCTTGTAAATAATTATTTTAGGACATTGAAATATCAAAACATGAGTAAAAATATAATTAATATTGTTATATTAATATAATTATACTGTGCGTTCGTAATTGCCATATCCTACAAATAAAAAATTTCCCCATATGTAACGAACATTATGGGGTGGGGGACACTGTATATGGATAATCCTCTGGCATAAAAACACTATTCATTTTTTAACTAATATAGAAAGTATACTATGCAAATGCACGTCTTCCAGGCAATGTTGTCAACTTGCCGAAATTATTCAGAGGACTCTTAATTTTTATTTGGTGTATAAAAACACAGAGTTGTGAGTTTCTTAACTCATAAAATAAGTAAATAAATAACTGAAGTATTTTTAGTTTTATTTTCATCTAGTCTAGACGAATCAACCAGCGAATTAATAAAATACAGAAAGTTTGAAACATTAAAAACTGATATTATATCTATACTATCTAATAAAGGCATTATTTTAAACATTTTGTGAATGCAAATCTGTCCAGGGTAGTAACACCTTATAAAGAAACTCTCCGTTGCGATATCGGGTGTTACATTCAAATTTGTGAACGTGAGCCAAATGGGTGTTACTTACCTCCATGCTTGTGGGAGTGGAACTTTGAGTACGGAAATGCGTGCGGAAAAGTACTACTTTGAGCACGCTCGTAGGAAAAATGTTGTTTGTATTTTGTATGCGACATTTGTGTCTATGGGTAACTTCGAATGAATTTTTGGCCTCGACCCTCGACCCAACCTGTGAAAATTAGGCTTTAAGGTACCTTGACTTTAAGTATTGAAAAAACTCATTTTGCGAACTTATAACAAAAACAATTATTTATACACTGAATCCCAGCAAGAAATGCAAGCTATTTTGAATTAAACTGCGACTTTATATGATATGATAATCAAATTATCTGGACAGTGCAGATGGTTTTTAGTCGACATTGTCTGGACAGTGCAGATAGATTTCAGTCGGCACTGTCTAGACAGTGCTGATAGATTTTAGTCGGCACTGTCTAGACAGTGTTGATAGATTTTAGTCGGCACTGTCTGGTCAGTGCAGATAGTTTGCAGTCAGCACTGTCTAGACAGTGCAGTAGTCACTCCCAAAAAAAAGCATCTGGAACTTTTGGAGTGAGCTCCCTTTACTCGATTCCGTATAGTCAAACGTGCACCTATTAGTTACTCTATTTGCCCCGAAAGTATTGCGTACGGAGTACTCGGAGTGAAAAAATGCTATCCAAAGTTGGCCTGTAGAAAAAAAAGAAGAGGCATAAAATCCTAACCAAACTTTTGCCATCATTGTGCTCACTTTTAAATGTTTTTGTTGCCTGCTGTTATTTTAGTTTTCTCTTGAATTGTTTGTAAAATGGATAATTTAAATGAGTGTCAGCTTCAAATTAGATTAATTACCACGCAGGACATGTAAGTATTTTTTATTGTGCTAGAAAATTCAGTGTAGGTAAAAATCAATTAATCCTATCTAGTCTTCAGGAAAACTTTCTTCATTAAAAATGATGAAGTAGATTTCCATGGTCCTAAAAAGTTTCAACTGCTTCCAGACTTTGTGTGCTTTCTAAATAATTTATATTTTTCCAGAAATAAAAGGCCTTTATTTTAACACTCTACAAACTGAAATTATGATTTTACATCCAGTTTTTACACTCTTCAGGTATTTTTGTGTAGAAAGCAACCTATTATCTGGTTAAAGTGATTTAAATTTACCCTTATTGCCCATAGAAAGTTTTAGTTTCTACAAAAATCCTGCAAAACCAAAGAAATCTTAATTTACAAACTATGGAAAAAGTTATACAGGGTTATTCACTATATTTTAACCCCTCACCTCACCTGCAGGTAGGTAGATGATATCAGTGTTAAAAAAAAAACCAATCAAAGATTGCTATGGTTTTTAAAACATTAAAACGTAGTTGTCAAGTACACTCACTACTCAACTCACTAGCTGAGTTCTTTTTTGTCATATTTTTCGTCGATTTGCTCCGAAATTTTGACAGGCACGTGATTTGTAAATTGAAACTGTCTTATCCAGTCACATGCCTAAAATTTCGGAGTAAATCGACGAAAAAGATGACAAAAACGAACTCGAAAAATGAGGCGTTTAATAATTATTATTTGTTAACAATTGTAAAACGTCTTATTTTTTTGTAGTGAGTGTACGTGACAACTATGTTTTCTATGAACTAAAATTCTTCACATTTTTTTAACTGGTGTTCTTAACTTGGGCAGAGAGTAAGTATGTCTTAGCAATATTTTTCTTTAATTTTGTCAATAAACTTTAATGTCAAAATATGTCAATCAACCTGACCAATAAAGAAACAATAATGCGACCTACGTTTTCGTAATTAAAGCAATCTTTGATTGGTTTTTTTGTTGGTAGGGGGTCATACAGGGTGTCTCTGAAAGCTCTGAACAAAATCTTAGCACATATTCCTGAGGTCAAAATACATGTCGATTTAAAGCAACTTACCTCCGTCCAAAATTGCTCCGTTTCCAAGATACAGGGTGGTAAAATTAAAAAATAAAATTTGAATTTTGGTTTGTAAGTGAGTGAACAAGTAGAATGTGGTTTTTTTAGGTCTTAGTGTTAGTAGATCGGTGTAGTTGAAATTCCCATAAGAGTGCAAAAAAGTCCCTAGATTTTTATCAAAATCCCTATTTTCAAAATATTTCTGATTTCTACTATTGGGGAATCCCGCATTCAAACCTCAAACCATTTGAAACTGTCAACAAGTACAGGGTGCTGCAATTTGGAGTGTTTCAACAGGAAAAACATACTTCCAGACCATATAGAGGAAAATTGACTAAAACGTCATGGAATCGATTTTCGAGAAACGTCGATTGTCAAAAACCGTATCGCGATATCTTCAATGGTACCATTGATACAGGGCGATTTCCGATTTTCCCCAATTATGAAAAATAGCTATAAGTTTTTTATTTATCAATTTTTTTTATTTCTGTAAAAACATTATGGAGACACTTTTTTGAGCGCAATCCAGTGGCGGACTGAATTTTTTTCTATATCGCGCCGATTTCGAGATATAGACCAAAGTCCGATATTTTCAAATGTAACACCCTATATATTAATAGCTCATTGGATAGCTCTGTTTTTGCTGATTTCAATGATATAAAGTTCGATAGGTTTATCTGTAACAGTTTTCGATAAAAAAAATTATATCTGTTTCAGTCATAAGGATCAATGTGTTAGAAAAGAATTTTATATGTGTAAGGAAAATGAGGAAGGTCTCTTTCTAACACATTGTTCCTTATGACTGAAACAGATATAATTAGAGATAAACCTATCGAACTTTATATCATTGAAATCAGCAAAAACAGAGCTATCCAATGAGCTATTAATATATAGGGTGTTACATTTGAAAATATCGGACTTTGGTCTATATCTCTAACGGTGTCATGCATTTTTATATTGGAGTCAGTCTGCTTGGTATACAAAAAATTCTTTGGTTATTCTTATGAAAGAAATTATAATTTTAGATACAATAACTTGCCATTGCCAATTCCAAAATCTACACTCACAAAAAAATCATTAATTTATGAAAACATCAAAATATTTAATCACTTGCCGCAAGATATTAAAATCATTAACAATTACAAATTATTTCGCACTAAGTACAGTTAAAAAATTTTTAGCAACCAAAGCATTCTATAACTTGACGGAATATTATCTTAACCGAATAACTTAGTAAATAACATAATTCGTTTAAACTTCAACTTCAACTAATAACACTGTTCGTGGTGAGTTTATTTGATAAAATGATCGACTTTTACTGCGCATATCTTGATCTTAAATGTGGTATTTTTTGTTCTATACTTTCTTTAAGGTTTCAGCCACTATGTGGGTTTCTAATTTGTTTTTGGGAACTTGCTATTTTATTCCATTTTATTTTATTTTAAGTTATTTTATTTTATTTTATTTTATTTTATTTTATTTGTTTAGTCTACTTAAGTATTGCATGATTTTAAAGTTTAATTGCTTACCTATTAGTAATAAGAATTGCTGTGTCAATGAAATATGTGTATTTTGAGACAATAAAGCTTATTGAGATTGAGATTGAGATCTCGAAATCGGAGCGATATATAAAAAAAAATCAGTCCGCCACTGGATTGTGCTCAAAAAAGTGTCTCCAGAATGTTTTTACAGAAATAAAAAAAATTGATAAATAAAAAACTTATAGCTATTTTTCATAATTCGGGAAAATCGGAAATCGCCCTGTATCAATGGTACCATTGAAGATATCGCGATACGGTTTTTGACAATCGAAGTTTCTCGAAAATCGATCCCATGACGTTTTAGTCAATTTTCCTCCATCTGGTCTGGAAGTATGTTTTTCCTGTTGAAACACTCCAAATTGCAGCACCCTGTACAAGTAAGATAAACGTGAAATCTGAAAACAACAATTGGACAACCTTGTGTTCAGTACAAAACATTTATATCATATTTTTCTCTATTTGTACACGTTAGACACATTGTACTAAGCAACATGAAAACGGTGTATTTTCATGATATTGTTATTTTTTATTATGCATGTATCATAATCAACGATTATCGCACGCTGCAGCTTGCAATAAAATGATGTTTATTTACGACTAATGTATAATGTGCGTATTATATTTGTGATTTTGGCAGTATAATGACATATGTTATTCCTCCAGAGATTAATGACGAGTAGCGGGATTAATGGTCATTATTCCACAAAAGTGTCAGTGTCAAACGTGTAGTGCTTGTGGATTTGTATTGAAAATTATGAGACGGATGAAATTTGTTCATTGAAAATCTCAAATAAATTAATTTGTCGTAAATAAAGTAGAGTATACTACTCGCAATAATGGCTATTATTCCCTCGGAATTTTACTCCCTCGCCGCTAACGCGGCTCAGTTCGTAATAATCCTCGGGAATAATAGCTACCATTATTGACTCGTGGTATAATCTACTATTATTTACGACTAATGTATAATGTGCGTATTATATTTGTGATTTTGGGCAGTATAATGACATATGTTATTCCTCCAGGGATTAATGACGAGTAGCGGGATTAATGGTCATTATTCCACAAAAGTGTCAGTGTCAAACGTGTAGTGCTTGTGGATTTGTATTGAAAATTATGAGACGGATGAAATTTGTTCATTGAAAATCTCAAATAAATTAATTTGTTGTAAATAAAGTAGAGTATACTACTCGCAATAATGGCTATTATTATTGACTCGTGGTATAATCTACTATTATGAAACGTCTACCTTTTCAAAGGTTTGCTATAGAAACATTTGATCTACCTTTACTACCTAGATATTTACCTGCCATTTAAATTACCATTTATCAAAATAAATAACACATTTAAAACATTTTTGACATTATTATGCATTCATAATAAAAAATAGCCTATGATATGCATGTATAAGAGGGCCTTTAAAACCCTTGCGACTTACAAAACATTCCGCTGCGCGTCGTGTTTTGAAATATGTCGCGCGTGCTTTAAAGGTCCTCTTATACACTTATATCAGAATACAGGGTGTCCCACGGTGGACGGCGTATTAGACGTTAATGGAGAACTAAAAAGCGGATCATTTTGAAAATTTGGCAACCTGGATAAACTACCATAATCTACACTTTAAAAATATTTTTGTTTATGCGGTGTTGCCGCTTCTACTCTAAACTAGTGGCAACATCGCTATTTTAAATGGAACACCTTGTATGTGATTGCATATTTAGATTCTACGTTAAATTTTGAGCAGATTTTATGTGATATACCCTATACCTAAGTTCAACTGTTTTCGAAATATTGACAGTTGAAAATTGAAATTTTTGCAACTTTGACAGGCTGTAAAACTTAAACGGTTAATTTTAGAGGAAAACCGATATTACATTCCTATCTTAGATTTTCATGAACTATCATCTGACACCAACTTTGAACTTAACCGGAGATTAAATTTAACTGGAATTTTTAATCATGGATTTAATTCAAAGGTTGGTGTCAAATGATAGTTTATAAAAATCTAAGATAGGAATGTAAAATCGGTTTTCCTCTAAAATTAACCGTTCAGGTTTTACAGTCTGTCAAAGTTGCAAAAAGTCAATTTTCAACTGTCAATATTTCCAAAACAGTTGAACTTAGGTATAGGGTATATCACATGAAATCTGCTCAGAATTTTACGTAGAATCCAAATATCTAATCACATACAAGGTATTCCATTTAAAATAGCGATGTTGCCACTGGTTTAGAGTAGAAGCGGCAACACCACATGGTCAAAAATATTTTTAAAGTGTAGATCAATGTCGTTTATCCCGGTTGCCAAATTTTCAAAATGATCTGCTTTTTAGTTCTCCATAAACGTCTAATACGCCATCCACCGTGGGACACCCTGTATACTATTATATCAAAATCAAATCAAATCAAATATGCTTTATTGTCAGATAAAAACAGTTAGTTCCATAGATAAAGCAGTACTTATAATCTAAATAGTACCTAAATCTTAAGCCTAAGTTAGAAACTAAAATGAACAGTAAAAAAAATAACAAACAACTAAGTAGCCAAAAACAATTAACAATCGGTGCAAAAAGACAATTAAAAACAAACTCAGATCTTGAACAAACTAACAGAAAATAAATAAAATCAACATAAAATTTAAAAATTTTACATGAGGGAGGTACAAAGTGGTTTATATGCAAATAGTGCAGCCAATTATAACAAATAGCAAAAGTAGATGGTAAAAAAAAACATAAAAAAAAAATAAAAAACTTAAACAGGTAGTAAAACAGTAAACATCAAATATGTAAAACAACATTTACAAATAATCATCGTCAAAAAACTCTGACAGATTATAATAAGCCTTTCTCATGAGCATCTCTTTGACCTTTGCCCTAAATGATTTTTCTGACTGAATGTTTTTAAGATCAGCAGGGAGCCTATTATAAATTTTTATACTGCGGTATATAATTGAGTTTTGTGTCATTCTATATTTGGATAAATAAAAAGCATAATACATAAAAAAAAATGCTAAATTATTTTCCAAAATATTACTGGATTATAAGTTAAAAAATCCCAAAATCTGGCATAAATTTCCCTTTTTCTCTAAATGCTGAGAATGTCCCTAAATTTAGGTAGAAATTCCCTAATATACCATCACTGAGTTTGGTAGTAATAAGTATTGCAATTTTTATAGTTCATGTATATTGTGCATATTCTGTTATTTTGTGAATTACCCATTTTTTTTTCTAAATAAACATCTATTATTATTATTATAAAGCTGTAACAAAATGGTTAGTTTGAGTTAGGAAGGTTAGGATATGGGGATATGGTCAGCGATATTAAACATTAACCAGTAAGTAACCAGACACCAAAACGCTTCTCGTAATCAGAAGTTAAACATTGCTGGTGTTTCCTATTTGAGGACCGGTTTATCAGTGGGCGGTTATCTAGTTTAGCTGTCGGTCAACCAATGATAATTATCAGTTAACTAACAGCTAAACGACTGTGAGTTAAACTGATTAACCGTTCACTTAGAAACCGGTCCAGAGAAAGAAAATTTCCAACAATTAGGAACGTAAGAATAGCAAACCAAATTACTATAACAAAGAAATAGTTGGGTTATGTACCTTCATTAATTTTTTCATGAAAATATCAAATATCACATATTGGATTATATCCAATATCTATCATAAATTATCAGATATTTTGATATTTAGGTATACAGTGAGCACGAAAAGGTTGGAATAAAATCTATAAAATATACAGGGTTGATATTTTTCAAAAAACCTCGGATACGTCAATTTTTGATTTTATTGACCGTTTTTTTGATGATGATACCATATATCGTCGCTTATCTGACGAATGGGCGTAAGCACCATAAACATCATTTGTCAGAAAAGCAATTTTAAAAAAATGTACCATATACATGGATCCGTGTTTCTGTTATTTGAAAGGCAGTTCCAGTGATAATATTTTATATAGACAGATTAATAAACATACTTTTTCCAAGTACTATTCGAATTTAATAAATTTCGGGTGAACATGATAAAATATGACTTAGATGGACATACGTCCCTTCGTGGGATCTGAATATTATTATTATCGTACTTATGCCTAGTACTGCACTTAACAAAACATCAGTAATAATCTGCGGTAAAGAACAAAAAAAAAATCCCACTTTATAACGAGACACAAACAAAAGTTAACATTGAAAAAAAAGTCCCTGTAAATCATAGGAAATAAAATAAACAACTTTATTGTAAAAAAGAAAAATCTTTGTATTTATTTGCTGGGAATTTTATCTGGCCACTGTTTGATTTGGGTAGGTTTTTGAAGTACATGAGATGGTAGTCTTGGTAGTGGCAGTTTCTGATATTCAGCATCATGGTGAGTTTTTTAAATATTTACTATAGTGATGTCATCTTTGTTTACCATTACTTCCTTAATTTTGGTCCAATCGACATTTTCACCAGAGTCCAGTTTTCTGGTTACACAAAAGTGGATTTTTTCAAAAACCGTGTATGGCCATTTTTTTTCTGGCGAGTTTGAAGATGGGGGGAACTGTGCTGATATATAAATATTTCCCGCGGACCGAATTGCTGTTGCAATAGAACTATGGGCGGAATCACCTTCATTTTGCTCATGATTTGTTTTGAAAAAAGACAATACAATTTCACGTATGTTTTTTGAATTTGCGACAGCTTGTAGTAACATGGTGAAAACGATTGTGTTTTTATTCTGGCCACCACAACCATCTGCGTTTTACTTCTTACTTCTTTGATTTCTTGGTTGTACAGTTGCGTAAATATCTGCCAACGCATGTAGAAATTTCATTGGCAACCCTTTTACTTATAACTTCAGACCAAGAGAAGCACTACGACTACGATAAAACAATGCATTTTCGTTACTTATAGGTAACTGAAACTGAATAACTTGTTGCATGTGAAAAACAGCAGCAGCTATTAAATCTGGGTTGTTTTTGGACATTTCCTTAGCATCCTCCTTCTTTTTGCGCAGTGTTTTTCTCGGCGACATGTGCAGTGCATGCATCTTTGAAGCTCTAATTTTTTATTTGCACCAGCTTCCCTGTACGACGAACAAAGACTGCATTGGTCCTTCCTGGAATGGTAGAAAGACAGGGCACAGATTCAGTGATTCAAATACTCTACGGTAAGTATGATAGATGCATTTTGGGTGCTCCAGGCTCTCTTCTTGGTGCAAGTTAAACATTTTCTTCACGTTAAGTCGGGGTGTAAATATTCTTTTGAAGTCGATTTTCTACAAAAGTGCGACTCCATTTTTGGGAACTTTTGTATGTGCTGAGGATCTCATAACTTCGTCTTTTTGTCGAATTTCTATAACGCAATGCAACACGTTTATCGAACAAAACTCTGCCTTCCACCGTTCTCTTACTTATTGCCGTCCGAACTGCTTTTTCGGAAACTGCCAGTGTGTTCTGAAACGTAATTTCACAAACTGGTAAAGATCCTCAGCCTTTTGGTAAGCAATAAGCCAAAGTCCTTGTTCTTCTGGACTCTGTTGCAGCAGTTTTTCTCCTGTAAACATCATTTTCATTGATATGGCGTACAATGAGCTCCCTCTGTAATTGGAGACTTGGTATTGTAGAAAGCATGAAATATTTTCTGGCGCTCTTGTTCTTCCTTAGTAAACAACTTGCAGCCCTCATTTTTACATTTTTGAGAATCACATCGCGGCTTCATGATTCTTTGCGGAACTTGCTTTTTCAAAAAGGGACTCACGTATGCTGTTCCTTCTGTTCTTAGGGTGCGTGCCATCTTTTTCATGTTGTTTTTATTTATAACTACTGATAACTTACCTATACAGATACCACTGCAATAAAAGGCACACTCAAACTCTTAATATCTTCACTTTCAACAGAAAAATGTAGAAAACATTGCAGGGTAATTACCACAGGAAGCAACTGGAATGATTATGTATGAATTTATGCTACATGGTTGCCGGTGCGAAGTTATAGCTCATCGGGGGCACATCAGCCAAACATTTTTCGTTGGAAATCTGAAATCTGACAAAAAGGCGTAAATCCGTTTTCGGGATATACGCCTCTTAGTAAGATCCTGCAGTTACTTTTGATGTCGCTTCCGCCCATACCAACCAGGTTCTAATTGGAAAAATACTACTTATACAGATACGCCAGTTGGTCAGATCATAAATGTACTCCATGGCAATATTTTCATGGAATAATCTGTATTTTAGAAATATTGTCGCTTACGCCCATTTGTCAGAAAAGCGACGATACAGTATGACCCAAAAACAAGTTATGACAGCTAACTTTATTTTTTTAAATGAAAACACCAATTTTTTATTTCATTTTCAAATTCTACGTTAAATTCTTAACATATTTCATGCATCACGTCCTATACCTATCTTCAACTGTTTCGGAAATATTGACAGTTGAAAATTGACTTTTTTGCAACTTTGACAGGCTGTAGAATCTAAACAGTTAATTTTAGAGCAAAACCGATCATACATTTTTGTCTTAGTTTTCCATAAACTATCATTTGGCACCAACCTTAAATTTAACCGGAGATTGAATTTAGCCGGAATTTTTAACCATGGATTAAATTCAAAGTTGGTGTCAAATGATAGTTTATGGAAAACTAAGTTAAGAATGTATGAACGGCTTTGCTCTAAAATTAACCGTTTAAGTTCTACAGCCTGTCAAAGTTGCAAAAAAGTCAATTTTCAATTGTCAATATTTCCGAAACAGTTGAAGATAGGTATAGGACATGATACAAAAAATAGGTTCAGAATTTAACGTAGAATTTGAAAATGAAATAAAAAATTGATGTTTTCATTTAAAAAAATAAAGTTAGCTGTCATAAGTTGTTTTTGAGTCACCCTGTATACATGGTATTATCATCAAAAAAACGGCCACTAAAATCAAAAATTGACGTTTCCGAGGTTTTTTCAAAAATATCCACCCTGTATATTTTGTAGATTTTATTCGAACCTTTATGTGCTCACTGTATAAATATGATATTTTGCACCCTGATAAAGATACTGAAAACTGACCATTTTAAAGATTTCTAAAGACTTTTTACTTGAATTTTGAGGTTCAAACTTCAAAAGATTTGGGAAGCTGAAAACTAGAACTTTCTAGGTTCCAAAGACTATGAAGATTTGAAGCTCGAGTCAGAACTAATGATTTCAATGTTTGAAAAAGTTTCACTAAGAATTTTAAACATCACTAATTTTATTTTAGCTATGCAGTTCCTGACGTACCCCTTTCAGTACCCACAAACATAGAATCAAAAGGCTTGAATCAGCTACTGAATCAATTGCTTCTCGAAAATAACCCGGACATTTTAAAAACCAAGGAATTCGATTTTTTGGTGGTCAAAGAATTATTGAGGGTACCATTGTTGGAACATTTACAAGACCGCAATGTCTCCACTGAGGCCACTGTTGAAATTGAATATATTGAACGTATCCCAGCACCAGAACCACAAGAGAGTATTTTGCATGACGACTGGGTGTCATCTATATCCAGTACAAATAAATGGTAATAATTCTAACTTTCGAGTGTAATATTTTTAAAATATTAGGAATTTTTGGAATTTCTGTCTATGCTCATATTATTGTGATTTTTCTTGTAGGATTAACACCTGACTTTTAATTATTAATATTTACAGGATCTTAACTGGCTGTTATGATCATTCAGTTTCCATTTATACCAATCATGGAAAATCAGTAGTTTCTACAATAAAACACGGAGACATTATAAAGGATGTAGCCTGGATAGACAAAGAGGACGTTTCAAAAGGCCTTATATCAGTTTCTCACGATCAAACCGCCATTATTTGGTCATGGACTGAAGGTACAAAAAATTTAACACCCAAAATACAGTTGAAAGGCCACGAAAGGGGCATCGAATGTGTCGGAGTGGGGCCTAATGGTTTGGTGGCAACAGGAAGGTAATTTTTAATTGATTTAATAAATTTAATAAATGTATTTACTAATCAAGATTTTCAATAAACTAATTTGGTTTTGGTGTATTTTAGTTGGGATACTCAATTAAAAGTATGGTCATCGTCCTTTGATCCTACGGACACTGGTGAACCGGATATCAAAAGGCCAAGATTAAATCGGGATGATTTGTCCCCTAGGACAGCTAAAGTTTCCATTAAGGCCCATAAAGAAGCTGTGTCTTCCGTTATTTGGCTCGATGAAAATATAATATGTACTGCAGGAATGGACCATGTTATTAGGTTGTGGCATTGGGAGGTGAGTCAACTTTTAATTCTTTCATACCTATTTTTTTGTTTTTTTTTTTAATTTCTTTTTTTCTTTTATTTTTCGCTCCACATCCATTTTTTTTCAATTTTTCTTTTTTTTTGTCCAATCTTTTGTCTATTCCAGTCTAGGCTCTTGAATCACCTCTCGTATTCCTTCTTTAAGAAATAAAATTCGATAGCCTGGAACTAAAAAATTGGTCAAACTAACAGTTTTGATGCATTAGTGAAATTCTTCCCTAAAGAAAAATTTAAACCTCCCTCAATGTAATTGTGTGAAAATTTGATTTGTTCCAAAAGGACATCCACTGACATTTTGCCTCACAATTTAGTTAATTTTAATATCAATCAAATATGCTTTATTGTCAAAAAAATTCCAATATCTTGTTGACAAAGCCAAATAAAATAATATCTATTTATACAGGGTGTTAATTAATAATAGGATCAAACTTCTAGGGTAAATATTGTTTATTAAAATAGGAAAAAAGTTAATAGAAACATGGATTCGCGAATGCTTAGTTTTCGAAATACAGGGTGTCAAAGTTTGAAAAAAAATCGGGTTTTTAACTCAAAAATCCCTTCCCCAATTTTCATTTTCAAATTTGGCAGGTTTGTTTCAGATAACCATGGGCGCCGGCAGGGGGGGGGGCAAATCAGGCATTTGCCCCCCCTTGGATTCAGAAAGTTGAATTATACAGCAAAATCAAAATATATTTATTTATTATAAAATATTGTCGCGGCTTTGGGTTGCCTGCTGACAAAATTCTTGGGTTCGTTGTTCGTTTCGTTTATTCCAAAAATCAAAGTCCAATTAACACAGCAATAATTTATTCCACTTAACAAAACACTCTGACACTAATTACTTTATTAACAAACTCAACAATTCAACTCTTTACAATCACTATTTAAATCGTATCACACTCGAACTGAAACTAACTACAAACCAATGCCGGCCTTCTTATATATCCCTAAATCTATTCCTGTAAAATCTAGAATACACGATAATATTATTTTCCCGAATTAAGTAGAATAATTCACTAGATTCTAGTATACTCAAGAGATAATACCGAGAGATTCTTGACAGCCTGGCGGACGTTTAGCTTATTGTGACACTGCCCTCCTCTTAAGGTTGATCGTCCCGATCAACTTCTCGCCCATGATATTTCGCCAACCTGTCCAGATGTACAACTTTCATCTTACTCCTGGTGTTGCGCTGGACTCGATAAACCAAATCATTGATCCTCTTGATTACTCTATAGGGTCCTTCCCATGCTGAAGACAATTTCGGTGATACTCCTTTCTTCCTTACTGGGTTATATAACCACACTAAATCACCTTCTTGAAATCCGACCGAATTGGCCTTCAAGTCGTATCTGGTCTTCATTCGGTCACTGGCTAGTTGAATATGCTCCCGAGCAAAATCATGGATACCCAGAAGTCGTGCCCTTACTTCGTCGGCATAATCTCGGATTTCTCTTCGTTCTTCTTCGGGTACTCCAAACATCAGATCGCAAGGTAACCTGAGTTCCCTTCCAAAAACAATTCTAGCCGGACTTTCACCTGTTGAATCGTGAACAGCCGCTCTGTAAGCCATTAAAAATAGAGGCAAATGCTTGTCCCAATCTCGTTGGTTCTTTGCGACCACTTTTGTCAGGTGTTCCTCTATGGTCTTATTGAATCGTTCCACCATGCCATCAGATTGAGGGTGTAAAGGTGTTGTCCTTGTCTTACGAATGCCCATGATCTCACAAACTTTCTTAAAGATAGCAGATTCGAAGTTTCGTCCCTGGTCTGAATGTAACTCTAGTGGCACACCATGACGACTAAAAACTTCGTCCACTAGCACCTGGGCAACAGTGATGGCTTCTTGATTGGGAATAGCGAAAACTTCTGGCCATTTACTGAAGTAATCCATGATAACTAAGATGTATTTGTTACCACGCTCTGACTCTGGGAACGGTCCTGCTACATCTATCGCTATTCTCTCAAATGGAAGACCAACGTTGTACTGTTTCATGGGCCCTCGAGATCTTAGTTTAGGGCCTTTACTGGTAGCACAGATGTCGCATTTTCGGCACCAGCTTTTAACGTCTTCATGGTAGTGAACCCAGTAAAAACGTTCCCGAATTTTGTCCAAAGTCTTGTTAACTCCGAAATATGCCCCTGAGGTTCCGTCGTGTATTTCTTTTAATACATCTTCCACTCGGTCTTTTGGGATTACCAGTTGGCTCTTAGTGGATTTCCCATCGGCACTTTCCCAAACTCTTTTGAGCAAACCATTTTCTACGGCCAGAGAGTTCCACTGGGCCCACAACGCCTTGTAAATCAAGCTTTTGTTTGACACTTCCCCCCATTCTGGCCTACATTCATCATTTTCTTTAAGATGTAGAATTTGCCCGATGTCCTGGTCTGCCTCCTGATCTTCTCTCATTTGCTTGGTAGTCCATTTGTCATCGACGATCAGGCCCGTTCTTCTTACAGCTGGACTAGTGTTTTTCTCATGTATATCGATTCTTTGACAATGTTTGCAATCTTCTTTACATGGCCGTCTAGACAGAGCGTCAGCATTTTTATGCAGGTTTCCAGGGCGATGTTTAATTTGGAAATCGTATTGCTGCAATTTCTCAATCCATCTAGCAAGCTGTCCTTCAGGAGTTTTCATTTCTAAAAGCCATTTTAGAGCTGCGTGATCTGTTCGAATTAGAAACTTGCGTCCGTAGAGATACTTATGAAAATGGTCGACTGCTTTTACTATGGCAAGCAACTCTCTTCTGGTGACACAATAATTTCGTTCTGGCTTTGATAATGTTCTGCTGTAGTACTCCACGACATGTTCTTGTGAATTTTGGATTTGTGAAAGGACAGCTCCAACACTGGTGTTACTTGCATCTGTGTCCAAAATCAACATGCCTTTGTGATCAGGATAGGACAACACTGGGCTCGTACATAATGCTCCTTTCAATTTTCTAAATGCGGAATCGCATTCTTGGGTCCAATTGAATGTTGATTTTTCTTCTGTCAATCGATGAAGTGGAGCAGCTATATTGGCGAATCCTTCCACAAATCTTCGATAATAAGAACATAATCCTAGAAAACTCCTTAGTTCATGTTTGTCGCGTGGTTTTGGCCAGTCCCTGACAGCATCTATTTTTCCTTCCATAACTTGTATGCCCTCTTCAGATACCACGTGACCTAAGAATTCCACTTTCTTTTGAAATAGGAAACACTTATTTGGATTGAGTTTCAAGTTGGCATTCCGGAAGCGGTCAAAAACTTCTTTCAGGTTATTGAGATGTTCTTGGAACGAATTTCCCATAATCATGACATCATCCAAATATACCAGGCAAGTTCTCCATGTAAGACCTCGCAAAACAAGATGCATCAGTCGCTCAAACGTAGCTGGAGCATTACACAATCCGAAAGGCATTACATTAAACTGGTATAGCCCGCTTCCGGTACTGAAGGCAGTTTTCTCTTTGTCATCGTCATGTATTGCCACTTGCCAGTATCCACTTTTGAGATCCAAGGTGGAAAACCATTTGGAGCCCGATAAAGTTGTTAGTGTATCGTCTATTCTTGGGAGAGGGAAGCTGTCCTTCTTGGTGACGTCATTGAGCTTTCGGTAGTCCACACAAAATCTAAGACTCCCATCTTTCTTCGTAACCAGTACTACTGGCGCGGACCATGGACTATTTGACTCTTCAATGACTCCCTCTTGAAGCATTTTATCAATTTGGTTTTCCACTTCCTGTTGCTTAGCTACTGGCATACGTCGTGGTGGTTGTCTAATTGGGTGTGCCAATCCAGTATCAATTTTGTGTTGAATTAAACTGGTTCGTCCGGTTTGATTGTCCATCACAAATACGTCTGCTTCTTTCAAAATGAAATTTGTGGCTTCTTGAAGTCTATCTGGATCAAGATGTTTCCATGATTTCGCCAAAGTCTGCATCAAGGTGTCTGTATCCAATTTGGATTTCACAAAGTGTCGCTTATCTGGTAGGTCACAGTTCGATATTTGCTTCACTGGTTCGAGAGCTCCAATAATGTCTCCTTCTTTTATTCTTACTGTTTGGGAAGAAACATTGGCAATTCTTATCATAATGTCTCCATTTGTTCTTACTAGAGTCTTTCCAACAAGAAACCTTTCTGGTTTATCTCCAATGAAATTACGTGTTAGCCCAACGCAGCACCCAGGGTTTGTTTCTAATCTTCCGCAAATGATCTTCTCAGTACTTCCAGGAATCCTCACTGGGGTTGTGGCCAAGATCTTAACGTCATCGGATTCTTCTTGTGTTTTTAGGACAATTTCTTCATTACCAAATTTAAGGATGTTCATGGAAGGGTCAAAAGAGAACCCATGTTGGCCGATCAAATCCATTCCCAAAATAAAATCATCTCCTATATCGGCGACTAATGTTTTGTGCCTGAAGGTGGTAGATCCAAAAGTGAGCTCAACCATAGCTTCTCCTTGCACTGGTGCAGATTCGCCGGTGACTGTTCGTAGTGACAGGTTTCTAGTGAGCGGTTGGATTGCCCGAGACTTGACTAATGTTCTTTTAATTATGGAAACTTCAGCACCCGTATCAAAAGTGATAGTTTTCAATTCTCCATTAATTTGTCCTTCGAATGTTAATCCTCTATAATGACTGCCCAATGATTTTATGTTAACAACCCTGGGGGCTTCGTCATTACTAACCAGCATTCGCCCCTCCATACTGGTTAGTTCTCGTTTCCCTGTCTGTTATTAGGGCTGGCGTCTCTCGATCTCGAAAAGCGTTGGAAACGATCCCTTGATGGAGAGGGCATTCTTACTCTACAATCTCGTTGAATGTGTCCAACCTTATGGCAGCGATAACATTCTAATCGATTTCTTTGTGTTGGTGTTTGTCTGGAGTCGTTTCCCGTTTTTCTGTCTTCTCGTAATATTTTCTTTATTTCCTCCATGAAATTACTCATAAGGTTCTCGAAACTGCCATCCTCTTTTGATGATTG